ATAAATGTAATCATAAATGAAAATAATAAATGCTTCCCATCCCATATACACAACTCTGGGCAGCTGACAATTAAAAGTAAAATGAAAACAGATAAAACAACCAAGGTTTTAAAAACCCGATTATTAGTGCGAAAAAGCTGCTGAAAACATTCATAATGTCCCACATTTAAATTAACCATAAAATGCATTCCCCTGTACTGCCAAAATTCCAGACTTGATGGCCAAACTAGATTTTCAGTTTGAAGCTAGTAGGATCAAGACAAGTCTGATCTTTGGGGGAAATGATGTTCTAGAGAGCAGGTGCTACAGCAGAAAAGGCTCTCTTCTGGGTCCCAAAAGTTGGAATTCCCTAGACCAGGTGAGTCTAACCAGTGGTGGGATTCAACCAGTGTAACAACCGGTTCGCTTAGCGCGCGCTTCGCACACACAGTCCATTACAAAAGACCATTACAAGCAGTGTTAAAAGCACTAAAAACAGCTGAGGCACAGCAATCCGCTCTGCCGTGCCAATCAGCCGGGCTTCAAACGAATGAAATAAAGGTAGGTATAGCACAGAGGGTGGGCCCAGCTGATGGTCGGAGAGAACTGGTTCACTCTCAGCTGATTGTCAGAGCAACCGGCTTGCCTGAACCAGACCGAATAGGCTGAATCCCACCTATAGTCCAACCCATAGCCCACAAGCTGCATACAGCCCTTGACAGCTAGTAATGCTGCCCCACAAGATTGTAAACTTTTAACCTTATTATGTGAGTTTATGTTATAAAACTATATCATATTTATATGTGTCCCAAGACAATTCATCTTCACACAATGTGGCAAGCCAAAAGGTTGGAGACCCATGTGTAGATCAGGGGCGGGGAACAATGGCTCTTTTATGACTTGTGGATTTGGAGCCAACCAGGAATTCTGGGAGTTGAAGTCCACAAGTCATAAAGGGGCCATCATTCCCCACCTCTGCTGTAGATGATAAGACCCAGAGTATGTCTCTCCTGCCAGATCCTACAGACATCAATGGGGAGAGACAATCCCCTATTTATCAGGGGTGTCAAACTCACGTCATCACGGTGGCATCACGTAATGTATTGGGACTTTCCCTCTCTTCACTAAACTGGGTGTGTGACACATCCGGCCCGCAGGCTGGGAGTTTGACAGCCCTGCCATAGGTAATGGGAGTAAATAAAGTGAGGGCTAGCATCATGCCAAAACTGAAGAATGGGCTGAAATCCCAGCAGCAACTCCTTAAACCAGGTTCATTCCCTGGTTTAAGGAGTTGAGGGATAAGGAAGAGCTCTAATTCTTCTTTTGACTAGCCTCATTTAACATGTGATATCTAAGGGGTTCAACACTCCTGCTGTTGCTGCTGGAATGACAATGGATACCGTAGGCATTTGCCCTGTGAAAATAAATAACTTTACTCATGGAGTCTTCATATATCCCGTTGTATGTGCGCTGATTCTATGCTTTGACCTATGGAGTTCACAAGGAAACCAATGTGGTGTTTGCTACAGGAATTAAAGGTTTACAGGTTTAGATAAAGCAAATCTTTAAATGTAGGTTTAAAGCATCATTTCAGTAATGGCACTCAAATATTGAATATTCCAGATTAAAAAAATAGGCCTAAGTGGGGCTCTTATTTTCTTTTTAAAAATTTTAATATATAAGTGATTGCTTATATTCTTCACTGAGAGACATTCTAAGCCTTAGGCTCATTATATCATGGGAAGCTTTACATCGATTATCTTTTCTCCCTTTTCTCTAGCTGGATAGGAGAGAGAGAGAGAGAGAGAGAGAGAGAGAGAGAGAGAGAGAGAGAGAACTGGGACTGAATACACCCCTCTTTAAGTTATTAAATTTAGAAAAGTTATAATTGATATCAACAGGAGCTTTCTTCTCGCACCAGATAGCAGTTTGGGGAATGGGGCAGGCCACATCAACTGAGTGATATTTTGGAATTCAAAAGCTCAACCGGAACTTCATGCAATTTTGGCATTTTATGTTCGTAATCTATATCCTGCTGTGACTATTGTACCAAGTATTTGAAAGTATTCGAGAGCTTTGGGGATGGTGCAGGATGTAATATTGCTAAAGTGTTAAAAAGAAGCATGCAGCTTCCTTATTACCTATAGACGCTGGAAAGGATGTGCTATAAATTTGCTAAATACATAAATGGGGGGAAAAAACCCTTTACCGTGTCTCTGAAGTATTAAAGCACACATTCCATCTTCGGATGTGTTGATACAAGACCAGCCCACCTCAACCAGCTCTTTGCTTTGGGCAAAATAGGCTCTGTTCATGCCCTTATATCTGAACCAAAGAGTACCGAAGGATGAAAGAAGTGATGGTTCTGATCTGATCAGTCAGGGTCCTTTCTCAAGATTTGGTTCAGTGTGATGAGGTCATTTTAAACCATAAATCAAAGCCTTGTACAGTCCTTCTGGTTAAGGATTACAAATCCTACCCAATTGGGGAGTACTTATTTTAAAGACTACATCCTCTTTCATGAGCTTGTCCAGGTTTTAAAATCTTCAGAAGAGACTCTTCCCTCTTGTTCCCGAGACAATACAAGTTGAGTCTGATGACAAATTAAGAGGTGGACTTCTCATTGCTTGTTCAAAGGCTTATTCAACGTCTTCTCCAAGCAGATCACATTAATTCTTGTTGTTTTCCTCTTCTGGCTGAAGTTCAGGCCTTGAATTTTGGTTTCCCCAATCCCAGTCCAACACTTCAACAACTACAACACCCTTTTTTTTAGTAAGAAACCAAGTGGGTCATTTTCATCATGTTCTCTGTGAATTAAAGTGTCAGTGTATTTCCTATGCGTAACGTACTTTATACATTTTCATCATGAGAAGATGCAGATTTTTAATTTGCCAATCAGAATGGAAAACTACGGTTCATTTACTCTACCTTCTGTGTGCTCTTGTAGTCAAGACCTTATATTATTTCTTCTATAATGAAATGCTACACACATTAATATACCAAATGTTAAGGTATCCTAGCAACATGCTCCGAATAAACTCTTCTTTTCTTGGGTCCTTAAGACAACCTGAAAAGCAATTTCTGTCCAAAAGGTAAAATCCTGCTCTTAGAAATATATATTTTTGCAATACAAATGCATGAGCATTGCATAGAAACAATTATATGATGAATTATTCAAATGGATTTTATTTGGATTTTTTTTTCTCACCTGAATCTTTCTCCAAATATTTTAAAAAACAAGAATATTTGAGGGGTATCAGGGTAGAGAGCTAGGAAAGAGGGGCATGCCCATTTATCCCTATTAGTAGCACTGGTCCAATCTTTCCTTTTTTTCTGTGGCCTTTTTAATATTAACAGGTAATCAAATGACTGATCTAAAAGTGGCAACTACGATAATTCAGTATTAAGGAGGAGAGGAAAGCCCCCTTTTCAGTCCAAAACTGCAAGGTAGAATTTCCTTCAAGGTATAAAAGAGCTGATAGTTATACTTAGTTATACTTAGAGATGCTAAGTAGGGATAACAAAATGTTCCAATAGTCCTTGTCCAGGCTGAAACACATGACAAGGTTATTGTTGGTTGGATATGCCTCTGGCTAAGGAGAAGTAGAGAAAATTTGGCAGTGAGAGCATCCAGGGGGTGAGTAGCTTGTGTGCCACACTTGAAGGACATAAGTGACAGCAACTAAGGGGAAATAGGACAAGGGAAGCTTGGTGAACTGCTGTGGATGGACCAATGCAATAGCAATAGTACTTAGACTTATATACAGTGCTTCACAGCCCACTCTAAGAGGTTCACAGAGTCACCATATTGCCCCCAACAATCTGGGTCCTCATTTTACCCACCTTTGAAAGATGGAAGGCTGAGTCAACCTTGAGCCGGTGAGAATTGAACTGCTGAAGTGCAGCCAGCAGAAGTAGTTTTCAGTACTGCATTCTAATCACTGTGCCATCACAGCTCAATATGCACATGCCATATTGATCAGATGAAAAGAAACAATGAGGGGTATCACTCTTGCTATGCTCACTTTTTTAGTTTTTATTCCAGCCAAAACCCTACCTTAAATATTTTGGGTTTCCATCTTGCCAAAGCATAATTCACTCTTTCAGCAGAACTTCTGAAATTTTGGGGTTCAAACGCAATTTCCATTTCATGCATACTCCTAATATCGAACATGTTACTGGCTACGACATATGTGCATTTTTGAGATAGAACAAAAATACATTCACAAAATAAAATGAGAGTATACAATCAATGCAGTTAAAATCAATTTTAAAATTAAGTTTGTTAAATCAATTAAAAGCTTGACAAAAGATGAAGTTTTAGCATTTTTCCTGAAATATTGAAAGTGGTGGCAAATGCACCTTTGAGAGAACTTTCCCAGTGGTGAAATCCATTTTTTTTTACTACCATTCTCTGTGGGCGTGGCTTGGTAGGTGTAGTGTGGCTTGGTGGGCGTAGTTTGGTGGGTGTGGCAGGGGAAAGATACTCCAAAATCTCCATTCCCTCCCCACTCTGGGGCCAGAGGTGGTATTTGCCAGTTCTCCAAACTACTCAAAATTTCTGCTATCGGGTCTCCAGAACCTGTCAGAACCTGTTGGATTTTACTCCTGAACTTTCCGTGTTTGGAAGCCTCCAGGCAGAAAACTGTCTTCTGTGTTTCAGGTAGCCAAGCTGATTTTCATAATCAAACACTGTTTCTTTAACCTAAAATGAACTCAGAAACTAACTATATCAGCCCATTTTCTCCTCAAGGTCTGTAGCTCTTATCCTGACAGATCATTATTACTCTTCTTAGAAACAACAAAGAAATGACAGATTACAGAAATTGGGGTTCTCAAGTGAGGCGCTGTTGTATTTGAGACAAGCTCAGGCAATGGTAGCTCTTAAAGGAAGAAGTCTTGGCAAAGAATTAAAAACAGCATGTACCGAGATGTTACTTGGAGCTCAGTTGGAGAAAAGCAAATTTCATTTTTAACTAGTACTATATCTGGTCGAACTTACAAATAACGAACTTTGAAGAGCCTTTACACTACTGTGATTTAATATCTCACCATCAGTAATGATTGGAAGGTAAATATCACCAAATGCCTCATGCTGAAAGGCTTTGATCCTGCAAAAATTCTTCTTCTTCTTCTTCTTCTTGTGACATATCCATCATCGGATGTTGGCGATTATGTTGGCAATCCTATTTTTGTCAACAGCCGTATGAAAAAGTTTTGTCCAAACCAGTCCCTTAGGTTTTGAAGCCATGATGTTCTTCTTCTACCTGGACCTCGTTTGCCTTCAATCTTTCCCTGGAGGATTAAGATGGAGCCCCTGAATCTACAGAATCATGTCCTGTTCTACTATAGTTAGTAATAGTTCTCATATAACAATGGTCATTGGGGACTTCCGGTTGGTGATTTGCAGCGACAGGGTGTTGAGTGAGAGCTCGCTGCTCCTCAACACCTTTTAACATCGCGTTTTGGGGGATCCCCTCGGGGGACGCAGGACCCGGAGAGCCCTGCGGGCAAAACAGGAAGCCAGGCAAGCGGGAAGTGGGTGCGATCACCTCTCGCTGGACCAGGCGGCTCTGCCTAACCAACGCGGTGAGCCGGCCATTGATGGCGGGCGCGAAGCAGCAATAGCCAACAAAGACGGGAAGCTAAGAAGAAGATCGGAGGTGCGGTGACAGATTCAAGCCTATTCCCCTATACCTACGATCGTGCGGCAGAGAGGGGATCGGTGGTGTCGGGAGAGGAGTGCTCGGAGCGGCGAGAGGCAGAGACGGAGAGGGTGGAGCAGCTTGTACTCCCGGCGATCCGACAAGCCGAAGAGCAGACGAAAAACGGGGAGAGTGGATTGCGTCTGCAAGGAGCTTTGGAGAGTGTGGTGTGGTGAGAGAGTAAAAGAAAAAGGAAAGACTATTGGTGTGGCTGGCTTTTGGTACTGGGATTGAGTGGAAGAAAGCAGAAGAAATACAGTGATTAGCTGTTTGAGGCTTTTAGCAAACAGGAAGTGCTTCCATTGAATCGGAAGAGTGGAACAGCAGCGGTTGAACAAGAAGACGCTCTGGCAGAGACTATTACCATCGAGTTTGGTTGGAGCCCAGCAAAGTGGGAAATTGAAGATTTCCTATTTGTACTCTAAAATTCCGTAAATACTATAAACACTATAAAACAATATACTTATACCCATATATTTATATGTTTATATCTTTCCTATCTTTCTCTTGAGTATATGTGATATTAATAAGTGAACTCTGTTTTCCTCTCTAACTTTATAATTTTATAATTAATATTAATTAGATCTCTTAAGCCATTTTATAGATATATACAAAAAAAAAAAAGGTTGATTATATATGAGAATTTAGATTTCTATAATTATTACTAGCTAAGAGAAAAAAGGGTTGGATTTGCATCTTACTAATTAAATTATTATACAGGATTTTATATCTACTTATATTTATTGTAATTTATTTATACCTATTTATACTTATTTATATCTATTATATCTATTTATATCCAACCTTTATTAAGATCTGAACTTAGAATTTATTAGTTCATTAACTTATTGTGGTCAACTTATATAATTTAGAATATCTATCTGTATTTATCTATATCAATACTACCCATTAGGAACTGAAATTAGAATTTATTAACTTAAAATAATTACTTGTATTGCTAGCCTATAACAATTTATATATATTACTTACCCTTTTCTAAGATTGAATTTAGATTTTATTAAGTGATTAATTGATTTGTATCGATATTTTGTCTACCTATTTGGAGGAGAACTATATAATTATATAATTAGTGATTGCTAATTGCTGGAAACTTTATAGTAGCCCGCTACAGTATTTTGGAAATTTAGAAACTAGTATTAACTGGAACTTATTGAGAGTGTAGAGAGGACCAATAAAGGAGCGAAATAAAGGTCTAAGAAAGCTCCTCAGAGAAAACGTGGCAAGTGCCACTGGATGAGAATTTGGAGAAAGATAGAGGAGATAATAAGAGATCAAAAATTGGTTCTGAAAGAAATGGCAAGTCTGACCTCCACAATTGCAAAAACTGCTAAAAAAGCAACATCTATACCTACCCTAGCGATGTCTTCCCCAGCCACCCAGAAATCAGTAGAAGGTCTCCAGAAACTAGACAAACCCCCTATAACTCCTACACTGCAAACGGTACAAACATCCCTCCAGTCAATCCAAGAAACAATGCTTGCGATGCAAGAAAAACTTTTGAATAGTCACTCCGAATTAAAATCAGACATCCATGCTCTTGATTTTAAAATGAATGAGATTCAAACTGCTATTGCTAGTAACGAAAATAGAATTTTAAAGCAGAACAAAGAATTGAAAAAAAGGAGAAAAAACTGGACACAGTAGACCAAACTTTGTCGGCACAAAACAAAGAAACGGAAGACGCGCTGATCCAACTTGAGATGGACAAGGCCTCGTTTTTCTTGCGTTTCCAGAACATCCTGGAAGATAAAGATGAGGATTTAGGTGACAAGATAGCGGAGTTGATTGCAGAAACTCTGCAGCAAGACAAGCAGGAAATAATTCGTGAGATTGATGAGGTGTACAGGGTCCAGACAAATTACGTAAGAAGAAACAGACTCCCCAGAGAGGTCCATGTGCGCTTTGCTAGAAAAAAAGTTAGGGATATCCTGTATAACATAGCTCGGGAGGAAAAAATTACCTATGGGGGAAAAGAAATTAATATTCTGAAACAAATTCCGAGAAGAGTGAGGGAAAGGAGGAGAAACTATAGGTTTTTGACAAATCATCTAAACAGGAGAAATATAATTTTTAGGTGGCTTTTGCCAGAAGGACTGCAAATTTCCTGGCAAGGGAGGAAAATAAGAATTGATTGTCTAAGTGATGCCCAAGACTTTTTAGAACAACTAAGGGGAGGAGAGGAGGAACAAACCAGTAAGGAGGATAACGAGATAGTAAATACGGAAGAAGAGATATCCCAAGAGCAAATTACTAGGGAAGACATAGAAGAGGAGAAGAAAAAGGAGGATACTGAGGAAAGAGGGAAAAAATCAAGACCAGTGAGAGCAGTAACTTTAAAAGGTAAATAAGAACAAGAGACTAGAAACTAATTTCAGGAATGAACGATACCAAGATCATATCGGTAAATGTGAATGGATTAAACGATTACAAAAAAAGAAGGATAATATTGTCGAAATTGGTGAAACAAAATCCCGATATTATCTGCATCCAAGAGGTCCATATAAAAAAAGATGAAGCTGAATATTTAAATTACTGTAAATTTGGTAAAGTATTTTCCTCACTAGCTGAGAAAAGGAAAAGGGGGGTTGCTATCTATGTTAAGAAAGGAATAATGGCAGAATGTAAATATAAAGATGAAAAAGGGAGAATACTCATAGTTGAAATAATGAGAGGTAACTCTAGACTGCTATTAGTAGGGGTTTATGCACCGAATAAAAAACAAGGGAAATTCTATAGGAAACTGCAGGAACAGTTGGCAAATTGGGCACATCTTGAAATATGTATGCTAGGGGACTTTAATGGAATTGTAGATCCAAAGCTTGATTATAAGTGCGATATAACCAAAAAGAATAAAAGATCTCCCTTACCAAAGTTTTTTTTTGATTTGGTGGATGAGATAAATTTAATTGACATGTGGCGTACCTTACACCCCCAGGACAGACAATATACATTTTACTCCATCCCACAGAACTCCTGGTCCAGAATCGATATGGTTTGGGTTACTAGAAAATTGGCATTAGAAATTAAGAAAGTTAACATGGACATCAATACTTGGGCAGATCATAAGCTCCTCGAAATTAGATGGTCTCATGATACGAAGAAAATACAACAGAGATGGAGCTTAAGGACCAATCTCCTAAATGAAAAAGAGTTCACACTCAAATTGAATGAAGAAATCAAACGCTTCTTCTTAGAAAATGGAAATCGAGGGACAGCCAAAGAAATTGTGTGGGACACTATGAAGGCCTATGTCAGAGGAGTAGCCATCTCATATACTGCCTTTAAAAATAAGGAAAAAAGAAAGAGTAGAGAAGAACTTACTCAAAAACTATTACAAACTGAGGCTGAATTACAGCAACGACCGGGAGATGAGGCGACGAAACAACAGTGGTTGATGATGAGACATAGACTGAATCTATTGGACCAGGAGGAGATAGCTCAAAAAATAAGAAGATCTAAGCATTATTGTTTCGAGAACGCTAACAAGTCGGGGAGATGGCTCGCATATAAATTAAAAAAAGAGAAGGAAAAAAACCAAATACTAGCTTTAGAAGACCCACAGGGCATCCTGTTGACGAAGGAAGAAGACAAATTAGAAAGCATAAGAAAATTTTATGAATGTCTTTACAAAAATGAAGGAATTGAGTTAAACAAGGTAGAACAGTATTTGTTGGAAGCCAACCTCCCTCAAATTCCGGAAGAAGAAAAGGAAATGTTAAATGAAAAGATCACCATAGGGGAGTTAAGAACCGCCTTATCCAAAATAAAGAAGAACAAAACCCCAGGCCCTGATGGTCTCCCCGGAGAATTATATCAAAAATTTGATGATGCTCTGAAATTGGAATTGTTAGAAATTTTAAATGATGTTATTGCTGGTATAACAATCCCAGACTCCTGGAGGGAAGCGTACCTGACAATCATTCTGAAAGAAGGTGCCGACCCGAAGCAGATCTCCAACTATAGACCTATCTCACTGCTTAACGCAGATTACAAATTATTTATGACTATAATAGCGGAGAGATTCAAGAAAATTTTAAACCGATGGATACATAAGGATCAAAATGGTTTTCTCCCAGGGAGACAGATTAGAGACAATCTGAGAACAGTCCTAAATACTTTTGAATATTATGAACAACACCCTGGAAAACAGATGGCTTTAATGTTTGTCGATGCCCAAAAGGCATTCGACAACCTGAATTGGACCTTCATGATAAACCAAATAGATCTAATGGGATTCGGGACTAACTTTAGGAGGATGATAGAGAATATTTACCAAAATCAGAGGGCAAATATATTAGTTAACGGAGGCAGAACCCAGACATTTCAGATCCAAAGAGGAGTTAGGCAGGGATGTCCCCTATCCCCCTTACTTTACATTCTAGCATTAGAGGTCTTACTTAGAAGGATTAGAACTAATGAAAATATCAAAGGTTTGAAGATTAGGAAGGAAATATTTAAAACACAGGCTTTTGCGGACGACGTTGCCTTCATAATAGAAGACCCATTAGATACCAGCTTAAAATTAATGCAGGAAGTTCAGAATTATGGAGAAGTCGCGGGCTTTAAACTTAATAAGAACAAAACCAAAATAATTGTGAAAAATATGACAAACCTACAAACGAAAGAATTAGAAGATTTATTAGGCCTCCAGGTAGTTAAGAAGATAAAATATCTGGGAATATGGATTACGGCGAGACTCTCTTCATTAAAAGATGATAACTATATCCCGTTATTGCAGAAAACTAATCAAGATCTTGATAGGTGGAGGAGGCTTAAATTGTCCCTGACTGGTAAAATTGCGGCGATCAAAATGAATATTTTACCGAAATTTCTATTTCTATTTCAAAATATACCGATATCACTAGATAAAAATTTTTTTTTGGATCTGAATAAACATATCAGGAATTTTCTGTGGGAGGGTAAGAAATCGAGGATTTCTCTCAAGACACTTCAAGGGAAAAGAAATTTGGGAGGGTTCGGGCTCCCTGACTGGGAATTATATCAAAAGGCGGCAAAAATAATTTGGATAAAGGAGTGGATCAAATTACAAGAAGGTAGAATCTTAACACTAGAAGGACACGATCTCCTTGAAGGATGGCACGCTTACCTCTGGGATATAAAGGATAGGAAGAAAACTCATTTCCATAAACATAAAATTAGAGAGACATTGATTCGTACGTGGCTGGAAATTAGACAGAAGATATATACCAAGGTTCCTAGCTGGTTGTCGATTATGGATGCTCTAGTGGCCCCAAATAGAAGAGAGAACTATAAAATGGGCACATATAAGGATATCTTGGATGAAGAAGGGAAGCTCAAACCCTTGGAAGTACTGAGGGACCAGGGGTTTATTCTGGATTGGTGGAAATATCTTCAGATTAAGTCTAGATTTCAAGAAGATAGAGATAAATGTGGTATTGAAATGAAAGATGGATATTTTGACAAAATTATTTGGGGACCAGATAAGAAAATGCTATCGAAAATCTATAACTTTATATTAGATGAGGATAGAGCCGAGAAGATAGCTAAAAATCAGCTAAGCATTTGGGAGAAAAATTTAGGATATGGCCTTAATTTCAATGACTGGGAGATAGCTTGGAACAGAAATCTCAAAATAACGAAATCGGTAACATTCAGGGAAAATCACTACAAAATGCTGCATAGGTGGTACCTAGCCCCGGACAGGCTGGCCAAAATATTTCCAAATTCCTCTGCTTTATGTTGGAAATGTGGAAAGACGGTCGGCACCTTTTACCATCTGTGGTGGACTTGCCCTGAGACCAAAAAGTTTTGGTTAAAGATTCGACTCTGGCTCTCGGAAATAATGGGACAAGAGATAGCCCTGGCCCCGGAATCCTTCCTCTTAGGTATGATTGAAGATGGCCTCGACAACAATAAAACCCAACTGGCAATTCAAATTATTACTGCGGCTAGATTAGCCTTTGCGAAACTCTGGAAATCCAACTCTACCCCCTCTGAAGAAACATTAATAAATAAAATTCTAGAGTGCGCAGAGATGGCCAAATTGACGAGCGAGCTAAAAAATGAAGAGAATTTTAAGTACTACGAAGTATGGGGAATTTGGTATAACTGGTTAAAGAATAGGATAAAAATATGATAATAGGCTACGATTTGTTAGACACCCGAAATGGACTTAATTGTATAGAAATGTAGAGAATTGTATAGAACTGCATATTGTATAGCTATGGATGGAATTCATTTAATGTTTGATCTATGAAATGTGTAAACATTGCACCTCGGATCAAGATTGTGATTGTACATTGTCTTTTTAAAAATTGGAAAATTCAATAAAGTATTTAAAAAAAAAAAAACAATGGTCATTGGGACTGGAATTTCTGCAAGTAAGCAATGTAAATTCCATTGCCATCTGTTGTGGAGGTTAATAAATCAATGAACCGTGAACCTTTATCTCTATGAAATTCTACTTAAACAAAATGAGCCTCTGAAGCAGTTAAGGGTAAATGTTTTTATTTACATAATAAAAACATAACTATCTATTCAATTAATAAACAGCACTTAGTTACTATGATAAATTATACTGTTATCTATCTATCTATCTATCTATCTATCTATCTATCTATCTATTCTCTCTAAGCTATGTTATCTATGACTATTCTTCCTTAGAAGAAATATTATTATATACCACAGAACTGCTCTTCTAACGGACTTCCAAACTGCTCATAGTTATCTAACGGAATATCCTAAAAGACAATACAATACTAGACAGAAGAGTAAACTGAAGAGTAAACTGAAAAGTGAATTGAAGAGCGAGGGTTTCTGTTAAGAATCTCCTTTTATACTGCTAACTGTGACAGTTAGGGGAGGGCCCGTAAGATTCAAACATATTAGCTGCCCTCTGATTGGCTTATGTATCTGTCCATTCCAAAAGCCATTTATAGGCACAGCTATAGAGAAATAAATTTTTTCTAACACCAACATTAAGCAAATCAGCTCAGATCATTAAGCAAAGATATCACATGGTTGCCATTTGTAACCTCCTGCCAGCTCCCCCAATGACTTTGCTTGTAGGAAGCCAGCAAAGGTCACAAACAGCAATCAACTATAATGAATGTAAATGTAAATAATTCAGCACCATTGTATATTCAAATGGTCACTGAACAACTGGTCATTAAGCAAAGACCACCTGTGTGGGAAGCCTCCCTAACCCTATCCCCCCAGAAGAATGAAATTTTTTGGGAAATATTAAAAGAGGTAGAATATTATATTTCCCTTAAAGGAGAAATGAAAAAAATCTTAAGGGAGGAAGAAACCAGCCACTGTTTCCCTTCCCAAGGAGAAACTGAGGAGGCCAGCTTTACCATGGATTTGGTAATCCATTCAGAAAGACTGGGTCAGGCAGAAACTTCAGATAGGCAACACAATAAGCAACACAATCAAGCCAGGTTGACAAAAGTAGCTCAGACAAACACATAGGATTTGCATTTCCTCTTTTGCCTATAGAGCCAGCCATGACCTCTACATGACTCCATAGGAATCCAGAAGGTATAAAAACTCACCTACTCTAAACTCCATTTTGTCAACTGCCCCTGAATCACATGTGATTGGTGGTTCTGCTTCATCAATAAAGGGAACCTTTCTTTTCAATCAGCCTCCAGCCTCCATTTTATTTCCAGTGCCTTTCTCCTAGCTTGGAACTGGAACTGGATATTTCTTCCAGCACCTGTATTACTGAAACATCCACTGTGTGTTGCTAACACTTCTTCTCGGTCCATTTCCAGCTTAGACAGAGGAATTCTATGGGCAGCTTCTTCTGGCACATAAAAATCCCAAGATAATTGTTGTAGCTGCAGAGTTTACATTTGTAGCCCGCAGAACTTGTTGGCAGCAAAGTAGGCTATGCATGTCTACAAATACTTTTGTCATGTATATCATACTGCAGTTTGGATTACATGCTGGTGTTTTTCTTTCTCTTTTTTAAATGAAATCTGGGTTAGTGACCTGTAATAAAGTTTGACTTGATTTTATATCTATGTCTATGTACATCAACACACTAACATAATGTCTGTCCCGGTTTTACAGGATTAACACCCAGACAGTCACTATGGCTGGCCAAGTCTACATACTTTTTATCCCTGATTCTAAAGATAGGAAAACCTAGGAGGAAAACCTAGGATTCCTTGGCCATCACATGGTATTATGCGTCTCATCTCTCCGAATTAAGAAACACTCCCATAGTATACTATATATAGTGTCGTAAAGGGAAATGGGCAAAAATCTAATGCTAGGAATTACTGTCTGTACTGGTAAGCAAGATCAGAAATATGGGATTAAATCCAGAATTATCTGGCAGAATATCTATGTAATGAGAGTATCTGTCCAATAGCAATAGTGACTCCTCAACAATACCACCCCAAGTTCCCATGAACTGAAAACAGGAGGCAAAATCAAGTAATTCCATTTACTAGGCTCAAACCATTCAAAGTGAAATAATAAAGGAGGGAAAGTATGTTTAACAGAATGTAAGTAACCAACATTATCGCTGAGTGATTATTATTATGAGGTTTAGCCAAATCTCTCACTCAGAATAAATCATAGTAATCATATCTCCTTGCTCCTTGTCCTTGATATTTATTAATTTATTAGTTTTATGTACCACCATAATCTCTCATGACTCCAGGCACCTAACATTTCACCTCATGCTTCCTATGAATTTTTCCCTTCATTATTTTTTTCTTTTCCATAAATACACAGTTGCCCAATGACCAAAGACATTCAGAAAGCTCTGCAGACTGATTCCTCATCAAGATATGTATGTATACAGTAGCTTGGGTGTTTGATTGTGAAAATTAGTTAATGAAGGCCAAGAGTGTCGTAGCTTTTTCTTCTCTGAACAAATTCCGATTTGACAGATATAATCCTTTCCATATCAAGGCGCTACTGACTAGCAAGATGGTGCTTTTGAAAGATATTTCTAATATTGAGCAAGGAAAGAGATCTGCTTTTCTTAAAATTGCATTGGAGACCCGAAATTCTTAGGGGCTTGTGGAAAGATTTACACAAATAGATGATGGATCCTTCTGAAAGGTGTAGCTGCAGGCATTTCTTGTCATACCTTAAGACAGCCAATATGGAGAGGAAAACATCTGTTCCAGCATAAATAGCCAAAATGTAGCAATTAAATGTGCTAATCATTTGAGGTTGAGCCTGGAAATGGATGAAAGGAAAGATTATTTTATTTACACAACTAGAAATTATTTCTTAGTATTCAGTATAGTACTTATTTTTTCTGAACAATTTTTTTTACAATCTCTTTCACATCCATTATTTTAACCTCTCAGACAGAAAAGTATGCTTAAAATAGATTAACCCTGGTGAAGTGTACTTAATTAGCATATGATGGGTTTATTTTTATGCTACTGAAAATGATAATAAATGCACCCAAAAGGCTTTTTTCTCCAACAAAGAATGTGGTATTGTATTTGATGTTTGTTTTCATACTGCTAATAGCCGTGTGTTATTCTTACCCACTACTGATAAAAATAGTTCAAAAATACATTTTGGTGTGACAGTATACCTGTTTATCGGAGGAAAAAAATACTCTACGGAACACAACCGGACCTAGAGTACTTATGAGCAAACAAGTTACAAAATCCTTAAAGGTCTATCTTTTTTCATTATTGTTTTTTTTTTAATAAGTTTAAACTGTAGTATGTTTTTTTTAAAAAAAAAATCTGCAGAATTCATGGAGATATTATCCATAAAAATATTCATGGAAAATAATGAATATTATAATGCAGCAAGAGTTGCATTTGTAATAATAAAGTGATAAATAGATTGTATGGATTCTTTAAATTAATCTATTGAAATGTCACCATATATATCCATAAGGAAGACCACATCCACTCCACCGCTCCCCCAAATAATTATTTCTGAGTTGGGAAGGTATTTCATCTTATATAAATTGAGAAAAATACAATGTGCTATTGAAAACAAAGAAATAGAAAGAAGGTGTAAGTGGTGTTGATGTCACTATTAAAAGGGTTAAAAAAGGTTAAAAGTGACTTTTAAAATTAACCCATAGCTGGAGAGAGGCTGCTTTGACAGAAAATTGTAATAGGCTTAATCAGGACTTCCTTCCTCCCTCCCTCTCTCCCTCCCTCTCTCCCTCCCCTGATCTAAATATATATCCCCTTTCCATAGTGATGGCGAACCCTTTTTGGCAGTGGTGGTGAAAAGGGAGCGTGCGTGCATACGCACGGCACCAAGTGCCGAAAAGGGAGCACTTCACGTGCAAAGGCCAGCTGATCGTTGTGTGCACATGTGCACCAGAAACCCGGAAGAGGAAACCCAGAAAATGGGCGATGCCACATGTGCCAAGCGACATGGCTCCACGTGCTACTTCGGACACGCGTGCCATAAGTTCACCATTATAGATCTATATTCTCTATAGTCATATTTCTAAACTGCCCACCTCCTTTAGAGAGAGGCTGACATACAATATAATCAACATATAAACAATGTATAAAACTAACATCAAAAGTAATTTAAGAATAATATTTTTTTAAAAAAATAAGATTATGACATTGTAAAATTTCAAAAATATACAAAATTCCAAGATGACCATTTAGCATTAATTAATTCAGGTGGGGGGGGGACTCTCATGGGGCCAGCCAGCCCCACAGTTGCGTGGTCCTCCGTGCTCCCCCATGCAAGGCTGCAGGGCCATGCTTTCTTGCTTATTTACTTGTTATTCATGTTTACACAATTGAAGAAAATCAGGTTTAAAAAATTTAATTTGATTAAGGAAGATTAATTGGAAAAGGATAATATGTCCTTTTTGAGAATAAAATGAGTATTTATGGTATTTTTTAAAGGGTGTCCTTCTTTAACCCACAGTTCTCCTAATCTGATGTGATTGTAACATCAGATTGGCAGCCCCTACACAACAGAGGTGGGTTTCAGCAGGTTCTGACCAGTTCTGGAGAACCAGTAGCAGAAATTTTGAGTAGTTCAGAGAACCGGTAGTAAAAATTCTGACTGGCCCCGCCCCCATCTATTCTCTGCCTCCCAACTCCCAGCTGATTGGGAGGAAGTGGGGATTTTCCCTCCCTTCCCCTGCCACGCCCACCAAGCCATACCATACCCACCAAGCCACACCCACTGAACCGGTAGTAACATTTTTTGAAACCCACCACTGCTACACAAGCCCCATTTTTGCCACCTACCACATAAAGGAATATCTTGTCTGAACAGAATTATCTTGGTTATACGTCCTTGGTTATATCTCAGTTATTCTGGGTTTGTTTTCTTGACTTGCAAGGAGGGGCAGCAATAATTAACATCTGGAAGAAGTGAAAAGAATTAAAAATAAGGACAACATCACCCAAGAAATCAGAACAAAAGATGCTTTAAAGTGATTGTCTATCAGCAGGCCCTTGACAGTAGAAGGTACTAGAGTTATAAAATTGAGAATTTGGGCAGAAATATAATGACATACTCATGTTAAACATAGGGCAGAGAAAAGCCATTTAGAGCCTCATCAACTCAGCGATGAGGTTTAGACAGAGTGTTTCTTGATTTCAAAGTTAGGATCAGGGACGAGGAAAACTTCCTTGAGTTTGCCTATTAGAAATCCATGGTACCTTTATTATTTAGAAATACATGATACTAAGCACTTTGTGCACAAGAATAAGCAATGTGACATACTCCAATTGTTTGGGACTCTAAACATTTCATCACCTCCAGCTGAGGACAGAGAATTATGGGAACTGGAGTCTCAAATATTTAAAGGGCATGCAATTAATCATACTAATTCCACACAAAACTGAATTCTGCAATCCTACCTTGTGAATTTTTAAAAAAAATCAAGGTCCACAAACATTTCACATTCATGTATGGTGACAATGTGAACTCAGAAGAATGTGAATGAGGAAAGGCAGAAAATCCATGGCGTTTTCTATGAACTGGATTGAAATGAGCCATTTGACTTTTATTAAGGTGCAGCTTCTATAATTAGTTAATATTACTTTAGTGAGATATTGTGACCTATAGGAAGCTAAAATAGAAAAAAGAGCTGACACAAGATGCAGTCAAATAAGTACATTTTTTCCAGATACTTTCATCAATATCCTTGATTTTTTTTGAAAGGGAAATGTACATGCAAGCACAATTGTGCAATTCTTGGCATAGCAGTTTCCCAAATGATTATTTCATGGATTATTTTAGATACTAACCACCTGAAGCAGGCTTAGTCATCTTGTTCTCCATCCAAAGCAGTGACTCAATTTGAACTCAGTTTAGTGTCAGTCTCTTTCTCACTGCCCTCATCCACTCAAGTAAATCAGTGGATTTTGTTTGTAAGAAATGCCTGTTGTTGTTTTTTCCATTGTTGTGGCCTTCAAAACTCATATTACTACTAATGAATTTACATATACAGTGCCCTTCCTTTCAGTGGAGTCTAAAGTGGTACACAATAATATAAACTATTATAGAACATTTATCAAAGCAATGTACCATAAGACCATATTATACCTCAAGAGCTGGAGTAAATATATTTAATAGTGTAAATTTGGGCCAACAACAAGACCTTAAAGAAAGAATTCCTGCCTTTAGTCTAGAAGTGAATCTCAGCAAAATGGAGTTACTATTGGTTGAAGCTCTGCACCTTTGAGAGCTTTATTTCAAGTTCTCAAAGATTGTACTTCTTTTAAAGGAACAGGAATGTAGTTTAGGGCTTTTGCC